AAGTTTTTTTCTTCCCGATTTGTGAAACTCCTCACATGATGAAAAAAGAATTAATATTATTTTCGAAATCTGCGTAGCTGAATTATGAAAAATCCATTATTAAAATCAAAACAACTTTTATGAAGTTTAAATTTACAGGCTTGCATTTCCTATGAGTAGTAATTTCATTGATCAGTGTTATGTAAACTAATCCATTAATCAAAATTAGGACTAAATTCATTAATCAAAATCAGTGTATCCAATTATTACTGTCTTTGATTATTCCAACATCAATTAATGAAAATTCCATTTATATCGATTCTCACAAAAATCAAAGTTAGCATTTTGATTTATTTCAACAACTTATCAATTGAAATTATGACTGTCATATAAATGATCAATTAAATGAAATTAGTGTTTTCAATTATCACTAATTATGATTATTCCGACTATCCAAGTAATCAAAATATCACTATTATATTAGTTTGTTGTTAAGTTCAAAGCTACATAATAAGCTATATGTTCTGTGCCTAATTTTAACCTTTTAAGTTATTTTTTAAATTCAAATTTGTTTAGCTAGATGATTCGGGTGAAGGGAGGCAGAGAATCATATTTCAGGTTTGATTCCCACTGTCACCAAACTGGCTCGTCCTGTCTTTGTTATGGCAAAGTTACTATGGCTATCTGCTACTGTCACTAAGTCTGAACTGTTGACTAGACAGAATACAACTGACTAGAAGCACCTATCACTAATGTTTCTTTTTTTTTTCTTTGAGGAACACTGTACTACTTGATTAATCAAATGCAATCAATTAAATGGTGGTTCCTTAATAAATTATATTTGTTTAATCAATTAGTAAATACCACTGATCATCCATATTTAACTACAGAGCAATGGAAATGTGTACTACTAGGGCACAGCATACCAAATAAAGTGATCATAGTCTAGACAATTAAAGTATAAACAGTAATATATTTTTCAAATCTTGCTAGGTATGTTTTATTTTAAATAAACATTTTCCTGCTTGGTATTTGTGGCACAGATTGCCAGCTGTTTTAAAGTCCAGTTTAGATTAATGGTGTTGTTGGAGCAGAAACAATGTATAGCTACGGCCATCATTTGGCATGCTTCAGGGACCACGAAGTATATTGGCCCAAAACGAGCTGTGAGTTTCTTACAAGTATATACTTGATCCCCCCCAGATTCCTTCTGTTTTTGTTTTTACAGAGAAAACTCATAATACAGAAGCTGTAACATTTAACATACACTTACTTTTTCCATAATAAATTTCAGGATTTCTTCAACTCACGACAAAAACGTACGGCACTAATCACACCTGAAGATGGGTATCGTAATACCTTTAGAGATTGCCTAGACTTCAGGGTACAGCAGAGCCTGTAAAACTTACTGAAACATACAACTGTAAAGTTAAGGAAGTGGATTTATAGTTGTACAATCATATAAAATCATTCATGATATAGAAATATGTATGATAATGTGCAACATTTTTTACTCAACAAAATGTGGTTCACATGAAATATGTTGGGTTACTTTTCACAAGAATATTGAGCATTTTGGCTAACTACAGAAAATATAAGACATAAAAAAAATTACAGAAATTTATGGGAACTACAGGACACCTGAGAGGCCTGAAACATGAAAAGATGCATGCATTGAATCTGTTTAACATCAGCCTAGTGTAATGCTAGCCTATAAGCTGACACAAAATAAAAATATTGCAACAAAGCTAAAGAAGTAAGTAGATTTCTACTGCTGTAAAATTGTACAAACTAAAATCTAATTCTAAAACATTATAATTGAAAATAAAGAAGAGTGTCTACAATATCCAGTGCTGACGAGGTCTTCTGCCAATACCAGGACTCATCAGGCCAGCTGGGATACGACACATGGTAGTGGTTACATTCTGTTTATATTATCAAACTGCACGAACAACAACTGTTACAGTGTGAACTAGACTTAGCTGGTAAAGTGTTATTCTACCAAGTTTATTTAACTAAGTCACTGACAAATCAGAATTAGGGTAAGGATTAATAACGCACAGTTAATTTATTTTAACACCAATTATGTTTTTATTATTATTATTATTTTGGGCGCATACGATTTAGTCTACAGATTAGTAACTTCTAGAATCTGCTTAACTTAACCTTATCATTACAGTTGTAACACAGACTAACATTATAACATTTAATAATCTATTTTACTGATTTCCTGAGCTACTGTAGATTTAACAGATGATTAAATTCAAAATATCTGTAGTTTACCTGGCTTTGATGCTTGTGACTACTTCTCCCCGCCCAAGGTTCTCTTTGATCATTATGGGTCCATAGATGGGCTGGTCCCACACTGGAGGGTTGCTGTCTCTGTCTACTACTTCTATAGTTAGTTCTACTGTAGTTCGATGTTGTGGTTTCCCTTTATCTAAAGCAACAGCTCGCAGGTGGAACTGTTGTCGCTAAATGCCAAAAAAATAACTTGTTAACATGCATTATATACTAATAATGTCTTTATTAAATTTTACATTACTCAACATATAAAATTAGTAACTGTACTAATAATTGTGGTCCTGTCAAGTCTGCGTATCTCTTTACATTGTATTGCGTTCTTTCTGTTTCCCTCACATATTTACCATTATTAAGTTTTTATTAATAGAAATAAATGTATGCAGAATTAGAAAGCAACAAAAATTAAATCAGCTAGACAAAAGATTTTCACTACAAGAAAATAAGTTCAACAAGCAAACTAATGTAAGAAAATTTTTTAATAAATCCATAACTAATCAAAAAGGTTAGCATCATCAATATTCTTCTAGTTGTTCAGTGGTTATCAAATTATGTTTTGTAGATATACCTTAGAACAAGTAAATGTGTATACATTGTTATTATATTTTTTTATCTTGTTTTAAACTCAACTTAAGATATAAATATACAAGCATTTGTTTTTCAAATGTTTACCAATAGTTATTTTAATGGGAAAAACTTTAATTCACGTTTAGCAACACAAAGGGGCAATCAATTATTGAATGAATATAAAAAATAAGACTCTAAAAACATATTATAGATAATACTTACAAAGAAAGAATGTTTGAAGAGATTTTAATAAAACATAAAACTCTTGAAAAAAATTATAGTTTATTGATTTATGTATGGATAGATGAAAAATGTTCAAATCATACTCCAATTACAAAAATTGTTAACAATCTATTCACATTAAAATTAGTCTTTCCCAAATTAACAGTCTAAAAAAGAGAGCTTTAAAACAATATTTCACTGATTATTTTATGACTTATTATTTGGCTACTTAAATTACTAATGATATTCTATGTTATTAATAATTTGTGCTGATAGAAATGATTCAAAAAGAACACACACATCCAATGGTTTCTGAAGAATAACCCAGCCAGAATCAGGGTTGACTTTGAAGTAGGTAACATCAGATGGATCATATGGAGCTGACAAGTTGTACATTACAGCTCCATTATCATCAGCGTCCTCATCCGAAGCTGACACACGTAGGATATTTGTTCCAACAGGTGTATCTTGTTTTACGTGCTCTTTATATTCCTGTCGGTCAAAAAGAGGTGGATTGTCATTGATATCTGTTATTTCAACCTTAAAGGAACAAGCTCCTTCCAGCGGAGGGTTTCCTCTGTCAGTAGCTTTTACTGTGACACTCACAAACCGACCATCTTCTCCTTCTCTGTCAAACACCTGAAATAAGTTATATTACATGTTTCTCAAACTTCTCTTTAAGTATGACATATAAGTTAAGACTCAGGGAGGTCAGAGAATGAGAGATATACTTAAGACAGGTGTGGTGCTCAAACTAAACAGAAGACATTTGTTATACTAGAGCAGGAGTTTCCAAACTGAGGCCTGCGGGAAATTGTCAATTGAACTGTAGAAATACACAAAATACTTGAATGTTCTGTTAACATACTCAATATCTATGCATTTTCTGAGGGGCCACGTGCTGAGAAAGTTTCAGAAACCTCTGTACTAGAGTACAATCTCACCTTTGATACAATATATTAGTTTTAGTCAGAATAGTTTTTTAGTCCCAAAGTGTTTTTTTAACAATGTTGAACTTTTCAGAAAAAAACTGAAACATAAGATTTATATGCAACATAATTGTTTAATATCTGTTAACCCTTTGGATGCTATAATTGGATTTATCCGGCTTGACATTTATAGCCATTTGGTGCAACAAGCAGATTTATCCCACAGTGTTACAAAAGCATTTCTTCATAGTGTGACAATCAGGATACTCGCATGTCCTTGATATTTCCCACCTTAGTACCAGGCTTGTGTGTACATCACCAAGCAAAAGTGCAACTAGTGGATTTTGATATTGAAAAAGCACAAAAAAAGGTCAAATTCTACATTTCATTTGTTACTGGATAATTGACACTTTTCGAAAACTCACCCGAAATTTAGTTTTGCACTCAAAGGGTTAAGATTCAGTACCATCTTCAGGAAATTTCTAAACTGCAACACTTAGAAAGAAGTAGAGGTTTTTCTTGCATTTTACTTTGAAAGTTTTAATGTAGTACCTTTGCTTTAAGTCTAAAGTAGAAGAACTAAGGGGCGTTGCAAAATAAATCACCCTTTTTTCCCCTGAAATCATGATGAACTTGGTAAGACTGCAAATATCATCACTCATGAGAAACACCATTTCAACGCACTTTTGGGTGTTTGACTCTTCGAATTTCATTTTTAGCAGAAACTTTTTAATCATGGTACTCACTAGAACTCAGGTTTGTTTCGCATGTGCTGCCTTCGGAATGGCTCAGAAACTAGTCGCAGACATGCTCTGAGAATTCAAGTCTTCCAATCGACACATCGCAATGCCAGATTTGAAAAATCCTATTAATGAATGTGAGAGACACAAATGTGAAACCTTGATTCGTGTTCTCACTGATGTGCTCACAGAGACAGCCACAAAAACAGACATGTTTGTTGCATTGCTGAAATATTTTGCAAATCAATTAAAATTCGTACGTGAGAACAATGGTGGCCCAATCAAGCGATATTGATACTTGGAATTACTTTTTTATTGAATTAAAATCTTATTTTACTTTGTTATGCTCTCAAGAAAAAAAGTGTGATTTATTTTGCAACATCCCTTAGTAGCCATCTGGTTGTTTGTTAAAGAAGTAGTTTGTAAGTGTTAAAATTTCATGATCTTTTCCTTCAAAGAGTTCAAAATAGTGTTTCAATTTTCCACGTACACACAAACACAAAGGTATATTATGTAAATGTAATAATACATTGTTTTCTAATACTGTTGATAAACATTTATTTGTAACGAACAGTTTTTTTTCCTTTCATATAGGAATTAACTTTGTATATTAATGCAAGGGTGTTTGCCAACCACATACTACAGTGAAATAAAACAAGAGAACTGTACCAAAGTTTTTTATCTTTACATTTCTGAGTGTTTATGCAAAATTTTTGTATTGACATTTTTAGAGGATGTCCATAAGGAATTTTGTTCTCCTTTTTGTTGACACGCTAGTTTTAGTTTTTGTACTGTACACCTGGAGCATATATTTTGTTCTAACCTTGTTAGTCTTCACATCTCCAGAGACTTCATCCACAAGAAATTTGGTTCCTTTCTGATTAGGTTGCTGCACGATACTATAGCGAACCAATCCATTATGTCCTTTATCTTGGTCACTAGCTTTAACCTGTAATGGAGACCAAGATCAAACTGTATACAGCAGCAAGATCAACTTCTCTATCTCTCTCTGTGTTTATAAAAAATAATTATAATAAAGATTTAGATTACGATGCAAGTGTAAATTAAACCTTGTATTCCTAGATACATCAGGCTTTAAACAGAATCAGAAATAAGGTAAGGAAATCGTAAATTAGTCTAAAGTGATGGCGCAAAAACAAGTTGAATAATCACTTTCACAGTTTGTCTTCAGACTTACAGATTGACCCATTAGGTTTAGCTGCAGATAAAACATTGCTTTATTTACATGAAGAGAATGACTGAACTTAAAACACACTTCTGCTTAATTCCACAATGTAAGAAACACCTACAGTAATGATAACAGTGCCACTTGGTGCTCCCTCCTCAACAGTGGGTAAATAGCTATCACATTCCTCAAATTCAGGCTTGTTATCATTAACATCAGTAATAAACACGACAACTAAAGCTGTACTAGTGTGCGGTGTTAAGCTGCCATCTTTGCAGCATGACCCATCATCTTGGGCAGTCACATTCAACTCGTACTTGTCTTTGTCTAACTGGATGTGCCCATTAATCAAACGGATTACACCTGAAAAGATACAATCAACTTAAAGATATTGAAACAACAACAAAAGCTGATTCCTTAGTGTGTAAAAGCAAACATAAAAAGTAACATTAAGATGAAAATAACAGAGAGACGACACTGCTCTTTAAAATAAAGCACTGCTGTTTTCTTTCCTAGACTCATTACTTGGTTACAACCTATAGAAGCTCATTATTTAAAGTTAAATCTCTAGAAACCAAATTTATATTATGCTTCATATATTTAATATTCTTTTTTAAGTTGGATTTTACTTTCAGAAGTTAGATATCCAACATATAACGAAATAGATATAAAAGAAACCCCAAATTATTCAGAAAATATAAACACATCATTATTATACAGGGATTATACCATGTCTATTCTCGAGGGTGTCATTAAGGAACAAAACAAGGAGTCATCAAGTACAAGTGGAAACCAGATTTAAGGAATGAAAGTTAACAAAACTAAGAAATGCTTTCTCTCTAACATTAGATTTCATTTTATTTGATTCTGTTTTCACTCGTGTTTGAGTGAGATTACTTTTCCTCTTGTGGAAGGAAAAGTAATTTTCTCTATTGCTAGAAATTAATACAATTGTACAGTAGTTACTAACACTAATTAAATCACAATTTAACTAAAATCTCCAATTACAGTAAAAAAAAATGTTATAGAATGCATGATGAATAACTGTAAAATAAAAACTGTAGGAGATGTACTATAAAAATAATTTTCAACTATGTGTAAATAATATATACTCCAGTTAACATTATAACTGGGATTAACAGGTAATGTATTTGCAATGATTTTTGATGAGTTAACATGAACTGGAATTAACAGGTAATGCATTTGAAATGATTTTTGAACAGTTAACATTATAACTGGGATTTACAGATAATGCATTTGCAATGATTTTTGATGAGTTAACATTAACTGGGATTAACAGGTAATGCATTTCCAATGATTTTTGATGAGTTAACATTATAACTGGGATTAACAGGTAATGCATTTCCAATGATTTTTGATGAGTTAACATTATAACTGGGATTAACAGGTAATGCATTTCCAATGATTTTTGATGAGTTAACATTATAACTGGGATTAACAGGTAATGTATTTACAATTGTTTCTGATGAGTTAACATTATAACTGGGATTAACAGGTAATGCATTTACAATGATTTTTTATGAGTTAACACTAACAGGTAATGCATTTGCAATGATTTTTGATGAGTTAACATTAACTGGGATTAACAGGTAATGCATTTACAATGATATTTGATGAGTTAACATTATAACTGGGATTAAAAGGTAATGCATTTACAATGATATTTGATGAGTTAACATTAACTGGGATTAACAGGTAATGCATTTACAATGATATTTGATGAGTTAACATTATAACTGGGATTAAAAGGTAATGCATTTACAATGATATTTTATGAGTTAACATTATAACTGGGATTAAAAGGTAATGCATTTGCAATGATATTTGATGAGTAAACATTAACTGGGATTAACAGGTAATGCATTTACAATTATTTCTGATGAGTTAACATTATAACTGGGATTAACAGGTAATGCATTTACAATTGTTTCTGATGAGTTAATATTATAACTGGGATTAACAGGTTATGCATTTACAATGATTTTTGACCAGTTAACATTATAACTGGGATTAACAGGTAATGCATTTACAGTGATTTTCCCGAGTTAACATTATAACTAGGATTAACAGGTAATGCATTTACAATGACGCAAGTCAATTATATTTAGATATTTAGCCAATATAGCATGCATTAAAATTGAATAGGTGAGAAAAAGTTATTCTTCCAGATAGGGAAGATTTTGAGAGACAATCTTCCCTTTGTTTCAGAAGTCTGATAAAAGTTCATCAGTTTCACCTCACCATATAAACAATCAATCATCACTATATTTAAAAACATTACACTGAATATTTTTTGTCGTGAAGTTAATCAGAGAGGTCATGACTATCAACTACTGAAAAAAATAGCCAAAATGAATCTGGTTTAGAGCAAAATTATATCTTGCATTCAAGAATCAGTACATATATGATAGTTTCAGCCCAACCTTTCTGACAGTGTTAGTCTCATATGACCTTCTCTAACAGTATTAATTTCAGCTCACCTTTTCTAACAGTATTAGTTTCAACTCTCCTTCTCTGACAGTAACAGTCTCAGCTCACCTTCTTTGACAGTATTAGTCTTAGCTCACCTTCTTAAATAGTATTAGCTTCAGCTCATTTCTGTGACAGTATTAGTCTCAGCTCACCTTCTCTGACCGTATTAGTCTCTGCTCATCTTCTCTAATAGTATTAGCCTCAACTTACCTTTTCCTAACAGCATTAGTCTTAACTCACCTTCTCTAACAGTATTAGTCTCAACTCACCATTTCTAACTATTAATTTCAGCTCACCTTCTCTAATAGTATTATTCTCAGCTGACCTTCTGTAATGGTATTAGTCTCAGCTCACCTTTTCTAATAGTATTAGTGTCAACTCACCATTTCTAACTGTATTAATTTCAGCTCACATTCTTTATAAGTATTAGTCTCAACTCACCTTCTCTAAAAGTATTAGTCTCAACTCACCTTCTCTAAAAGTATTAGTCTCAACTCATCTTCTCTAATAGTACAAGTCTCAGCTCATTTCTCTAACAGTATTAGTCTCAGCTCATTTCTCTAACAGTATTAGTCTCAGCTCACTTCCTCTTACAGTATTATTCTCAGCTCATTTCTCTAACAGTATTAGACTCAGCTCTCCTTCTCTAACAGTATTAGTCTCAGCTCACCTCCTCTTACAGTATTAGTCTCAGCTCATTTCTCTAACAGTATTAGACTCAGCTCTCCTTCTCTAACAGTATTAGCCTCATCTCACCTTCTCTAACAGTATTATTCTCAGCTCACCTCCTCTTACAGTATTAGTCTCAGCTCATTTCTCTAACAGTATTAGCCTCAGCTATCCTTCTCTAACAGTAGTTTCATCTCTCTTTCTCTAACACTATTAGTCACTGCCCTCCTTCTCTAACACTATTAGTTTCAGCTTACCTTCTCTAACACTATTAGTCTCACCTGAACTTCTCTAACAGTATTAGCCTCATTTCACCTTCTCTAACAGTATTAGTTTCAGCCTACTTTCTCTAACAGTAATAGTCTCAGCTTTTATTTTACAACATGATTTTTACAATCACCCATCACATTCCTAAAAGCAAAATGTTTATAGCTAACATGACTTTTCAGTTTTACATTTAGCAAAATTTCTCAACACAGGAAAAATACAAATAAATTCTCATCTAGTTGTGCACTTTCGTTAGTAAATAGGTAATAAGTCTATATTATCCAAAAGGTTTTGCAATCAAAGCATATTGTGTTAAAGAGTTTTAACTGTAGGTTCTCTCTAGTATTGAAATTTTGTTAACAAATAGAAAATAACTTCACACCATTCATCAAGTTTAAAATTCAAAATACTTTACGGTCAAGAAATTCTCACCATAGGTTTTCTTCTAGTTTATATCAGAAAAAATATACCTAGATGAGGTTACCTGTACGTTCTTCAATCTGAAACATGCCAGAAACGGTTCCTCCTCCAACAAAGCCAAAGTGGATGTTATCCCCATCCTTATCACTAGCCACAACT